TCTCTCTCTCTCTCTCTCTCTCTCTCTCTCTCTCTCTCTCTCTCTCTTTCTCTCTCTCTTCCCGCCCGTGCACGCCTAAATTCGAAACGAATCGAGACGCTTCGCGAGCCTGATTTGGTTTCCATTATATTTCCCCGGGAACGAATTTTCGAACGAAGTTTTCGCTCATTTTCGCGGCAGAATTTTAAGTGTGCCCCTTCCTCATTGTCGTCGGGGGCGAGGGGGAGCGTTTTTAATGGACCTTTTTCTGCGTTAATTAAATTCCGCGGCTTGCCTCCCTGGGTCGCTCGAGTGCTTCGGATATTTCGTACGGAGATCGGCCGTGCAGGCCCGCCCGTGATGGACGTATTGAAAATCGATGGTGAAAATTGAGTGCGGGGTTTCGGGGTGTCAAGTTCGTGACAAATTTTTGGCACTTCTAATGCGACCGGGTGCACGCGTTCCTGTTGGCAATTCTCAGCCGACGGTATCGACGTTAACCTTAGACGAAATAAAGGGGGTAAATTCAACGGTCAGGCGATCTTAAAAGTGTAATTTCACTCGGAATATTATTTATCGTTGTATGTGTTTTTAAAAGTGATGTTCAAGTATTGTCATTAACGCCTTGACGTACAATCTGTTCGTTTCATGAGCCAGTATAGACTTTGAAAGCGTTTTTCTCCAGCGTCATTTTACAAAGTTTATTCTACATTATCAGTCTTAAACTTTAAATACGAGAATATCGCTAACTGTAAAATAAAAGATAAAAATATCGTGCATTCGCCGACGTTGCATGTGCAAATAAAGTGCGACCAGAAGTTCTGTGTCACCGAACAAACACGATCGACGCGATACGCGATAGAGACATCGACAATACGAAAGAATTCCAGTCAACCTTGACCTAAGAAAAAACTACTTGCTTTTAAAGTCGATTTCCAAAGATAATTACAATTAAAGTATTCATCATCTTCTTTAACGCGACCGATGGCTCAGTTCTTCCAGGCAATTACAAAGATGAAACAAAAGTAGCAATATCTTCTGATCTAAGCGTTCACCGTTCGATTAATTAATGTATTCAAAACGTTCCAACACGAATCACCTAAGAGGAGCCAAAACACCGTGACAATGGAGTCGTCGACGCGTTTAAATGTCGGAGGTCCGGCTGAAAACTTATGGCTTCCAGAAGCATAGGTGTCTCTCGCGATAAGAAAGCGGCAATAATGTAGCGGGGTGACCACGTGCGACCTCTTCGACCGCCTTATATCTCGGATCTGTACTGTACTCAGGCTAATTATAATCAGGCTAATGCCTGCTGGCCGGTATGCGTCGGTACCCACCGCCTCCTGCGCTCTATACCTGGCGGCAATGTAGCCACGTTACTTATCCCCGGCTGAAGAGGGGTAATTAAGATTCGGACACACCCATCGTGACTCTCTTGGGCTCTGACCGTTTCTGCGTAGGGAGTGGTCGATCCCGTGGAAAGCTCGTTCTCGTTTGCATATACACCAGAACGGGATCGCGTACCAGAAACGTCTTCCACGATCACGTTCTTTCTTTCCCCGAAACGAGACGGGACATGGCGAATTCGCGTAGGAAACCCGTTGTCAAACACGAGAAATCCAATGGCTCTAGGATCTACGAGTCCACGATTTCTCATATCGGAGATCTCGTGTTCTCGGGCCTCGCACGAGCGTTCTTGTCGACAGTTACGATCGTGTGGCGAACGTTATGCAAATCATCGTGTACCACCTACAGCGACTTGCCTTTTTCAAGGGTTTTTTTATTCGTGGAATCAGAGATCATGCGGTCGACGAAAGAGGACCGAGGGCTGTTACAACGTTCGATAGTTACGGTACATGTTGCAATTTTAATCGGATTAGATAACGGCTCCTTGAGGGAACGCGTACGATGCTCGCAACAGCCCTTAGCCAACTTCCGCGTGTAATAGTAAATATTGCTCTACTCACCGGAAATTGGAGAACCACTTGACCAGCTGCGCTGTGTTGTTCTTATTGAACTTGATGTCGGGGAAGTACATCTTGAGGATGGACGAGGACGGGTACCTGACCCAGAAGAACATTAGCTTCGCCTTCCTCAGATGCATCGGCGTCAGCGTCGACGAGTTCACCGCGGTTAAGGAAATACTCTTTGCAAGTGCAGAATGCATTCGGTGGAAATTTCTGTTGTGGACTTTGGTTATGAAAAAAGTACGGTATGCTGGCGACTCTCGAATACATCCCATTCCCCTCCCCTCCCTCTCCTCTCTACGCAGTCGCTATCTCACTTATCGATTACGGGAAGAGCACGGGGCCAGGTGAAACGAAACGATCCAGAAGAAGGACGTTCCGTGACGGCGATCTGTTTCTGTATACGCAACTATCTCAAACTTAATCGTGTTTTCCTTCGTATCAAATTGGATTAGAAATCGTACAAGCTGTGGATATCGCGAGGGTAGTAGGGGTCCAACGTTCTCGCCGAGGTTGGCCCACGATTGGCCGTATCCTCAGCGGAAGCCTTACCGACTCCTTATCGGTAATAGGATCTCTTCATGTGGTTTCATCGCATTCTTATTTGGCTAATCCGTGTGTTCAATCTCTTGCGAATCGTCTGTGACTTCGACTGGCTCTTAAGCAACCAGAAAACCTCCCTGAGGATGCGTTCCTTTTTGTAAGAATGAAAACGGAGCCTCTCGTTGCGATAAAGAAATACCGTCGAGAAGAAATTTTTATATCGTAAGGTTGAACCTCTCGAATCATTGATGAAAAAAAGTGCATCTAGTAGCAAAAAGACGGCGCACAGAGATCGAACGCATTAGTACCGATAAGTTACCGATTCGAAAATCGTTGGAGATTTTCAAAGCTTTCACGGAATAATCGGGAAAGAGTCGTCGCGTTCTCGCGGACACTCGATCCGCGTAAAGCCATCTAATTCCGCAGGGAGACGGGAAAATCCACGAGGCGTTTACAATTTTCACGAACACCTATAGTCATTGGGTGTTACCGTCAGCGCGAGAACTCTCATCGTACAAGCGAAGTCGTCGTTCACGAGCGAACGGGTCGACAAGTGTAGCCGTTCGCATCAAACGTGCGCGCACCGGGCGTCGCATTTTGCGTTTGCAGTAACGTCGATGGGTGATAACGAGATGCCAGACTGTAATAAGGGTTATTCCGCCCCGCAGTCACCCTTGCATTATCGAGCTGGTCCTTCCTCGTACCCTTGTAACGCGCCCGCCCGCACCTACGCGTCTGGTGCTTATTATACCGTGTAAGTGACACACCTCCAACGTTAAAAAAGAAGCAACGCTTACGGGGCGATGATCACGATATCGCCATCATTAATCTGAACTGATTTTTAAAAGACGACGCAGGCGGAAATAAGTATATCCCCGAACATAATGCAACGAGACGATCACGAGTGAAAAGATAACGTAATTTACATTACTAATATATAAGTGTCTCAAAAGAGACTAATTCAAAGGTCTAACAACAATAGCATCATCCATGCTAAACTCTTCTTCGTAAGTAGCTAATAAGTGACTACCCTAAATACTTAGTTCGCTCCAAACACCTTCAGACATCTAACCTCGATACCATCTACTTATAATCGGTATTTCCCTAAATGACCACTAAACGATCGTCCCAAAAGGCTACATCCTTGCTCTCCACCTCAAGATACGCATCGAATCGTTCACCCTATCGCAGCCACCCTCTCGTTTGTTGCGCGTACCCGATCCCCGTGAACGCAGAACCGGGAAGGAAACTCGGACAGCGTGAAAAGCATATTCGGATACGTTGAAGGCCGGCACGACCAGTGACAGACAAGGGTGAATTCAGAGGAGAATGGTGAACAGCAGGTTGTGCCGCGGCCATGCGCTCGACCTACCCCAAGAGGAGGGAGTGAAAAAATGCGCCATTGATTTTACATCAAAGGCCGGCTAAAAAGGTGGCAAAGAACGCCGCGCTGCCGATCGAACGACCCGAACCGACACACACAGTTGCAGTTCCGTCGTTGCATCGTTGCCGCCGCGTTTACACGCCCTACCCCGTTCCGCGCGACACACGTCTTTTTTTCACGGTTGTAAGTCCGATATTTGCCGGAGCTTTCGGCAAGTGACAGGACTGACACGTCAGATACCAGTTGTCTTTAACCAACTTCCATCTTGTCGACAATCTTGTAGACAACCGTAAGTAGATCGCGGATGTTTCATGGCAAAAAGTGACTTGGAAAAAATGTACGAAGGATATTCGTTGGGATCCGAGATATTCGTTACAATTAAGGGGATGACTGTTCTCTGGTCCCCTTTGGAACGATCATGAAGATGCATCTTTGTGTTGACTAATATCTCCGGAGAAGTTAACCGCCTTCCTCCTTGAATAATCGGTAAGAGGATCGCTCTTAAAAATTCTTTTGTCTGACAGATCGAACGAATGGCTGCGAAGCGGCCGTAAAATACGACGGAGGTGTAAAACCGAGTCCGATACGGATCGAGTATAAGTTGACCCTGGAGTTCCGTGGATTCTCATACGGCGGGAGAAGTAGTAGAAGTGGCTTATCTACGATAAGTCGAGGAGACGCTCCTGATGGGAAGTTCACGGACCGCCTCCTCTCTCGTTTCCGCGGTTAAATTCCGAAATTGCGGGACAGATTATTGGCTTGCGAAGTTGGGTGAGACTCGAGGCCGAGGGTGGGCCGAGTAGGCAAAGAACTTTCGACCTCGCGCGTTGTTGCCGGACAAACTCTACTCGTAGGTGCAGCCAACATTAGCCTAACTCCGCGGCAAACTAATCTAACATTCGTCCGAGCTTCCTCCGACCTCCTGCCATTCTCTCGACTTCCTTCTCCTTGTTGGCGAACCGGCTTTTTCTCCCGGAGAACTCGACGCGGTTTTCCGAAGTTTCCCCAGCTTCGCGTTCCCTTCTACGGGGGGATGAAAAAAAAAAAGACATTCCTAAGCATCGTCATCAACTCTTTCCTACTGCTTTTTAACGCTCGATTTCGCTCGTCGCTTTATCCAGCTCTGGCCGCGTACTCTTCCCGATTTAATACCGAAAGTTGGACTGTACTTTCTTTGGAGAACGTCCAGACTCTGTTCTTTCGCCATATTGCCGCGTTCGCGTACCTTGGAGCGCTAACCAAGAACATTGGTCGCGAATAGAAACTTTGATTAGATCGGATTGTTCTGGACGTTCACCAACTCCCAAACTATAGTCTCCTCTCGATGTAGCATTAGAAAAGGATATTGTAGGCTGAACTCCGTCGTAGCTGATGTCGCCAGAGTTGCATTCGCTCGCCCGATCGTTGCTGTCCATCCTGAGGTGTCCGTAGTCCGGACTGCCGTGCTGGGCAGCCGCCAATAAGGCAGGATGCAGTATAGCCGGCGGATGGGGTAATGGTGGGGAGTCCCTGAGTTCTACGCCTCCACCTGGAGGACTCGCAGGTAGGTGATGTGGCCCCGGGGGTGGTACCTGACCAGGATGACCCGTGTGAGGGTTGAAGAACGGCGAGTACGGCGAGAACACTTGACTCTCGTGGAGACTTGGGTTTGGTATCGCTACGCTGGTTGGCAGAGACACTGGCAGCATCGGTGGTGGCGCGTGGTAGGGTCTCGGTGGTGGTGGGGGCGGTGGACTCTCACTGCCTCCTTGCGAACAGCCACCCTCCTGCGCCAGGATTCTGGACACGGTCCTCGGTGTGATCCTCGTGTCCGTCACCTGTGAAGGAAAATACTAATTGATATCTTCATTTACAATTGTGAAATTCAAGCTTCCAATGTGTATTTACAGCCAGTCACTAAAATATACGCACGATCGTTTAACGTAGTATACAGAGATGGGTGAGGCAAGATTAACAAAGTTTGAACGTAATAATAGCGGGAACTCTTTTGAAGCTTAATAGCACGTATCGAAGTTTGTTTTTATCAATTTTCTTGTAAACTACTTTGACTAATTTTATTCTGAATATAATAAATATTGGTATATCTTCCTCACCTTACTATAAAGTATACTTTTAATAACATTATAAGCATTATAGAGCGTGTATAGACTTTCGTGACTGACTGTATTCTTATAGATAAGTAATACTAATGTCTACTTCTACACAGGTGAATATTATATTAGAAAGGTAGAATCGAATTATAGGTTTTCAATGAGTTTGGTGCACTAAGTGATATGCCTGAAAATTTTTAGGCATTTTTTTTTGTTCACTGTCAAATATTCTACTGTACAGCTTAAATTTTAATTTCGTTTGGAAAGGAGCGAATAATAGTTAGTAGACTGCACATGTTTACGCGAGTGTGCATAAATGCGAAAGTATATAAAATATCGATACTAATATATATATATATATATTACACTGTTTAAAAGACAAATTTATATTTTTACAGATTCGTATAAAGAATTGAGATTTAATTGAAAGTATGTATCATCGTCTAAACAGTGTAACACGTTTGTTATTGTTAATATTTTATATATTTTTACATTTATAAACATTCTCATACGTTTTTCCATATTTTCGCTTGCCATAAACATTCGCAATCTAATTATTAGAAATTTGTTCGATCTCTAGAAGAAATTAACGATCGAATAATCGAAACTTTAATGCTTTTTAGAACGATTTTCTCATACTCTACGATTGATTATTTTGTTGGAAAGTTAAGAAAGCGATAATTACCTTATGACGTTTCTTCTTGGGCGTCATCACGAGCGAGAGGGCCTCGTTCTGTTCCGAATCCCTGACTTCTCTCTCGTCGCTCCTCATGTTACAGTATTGGTCGCGTTGTTGCTGTTCTCTCTGCTGGTGCTCCCGTTGCTGTTGATGCTGCTGCTGCTGTTGTTGTTGCTGCGCCTGCATGGAGGCCATAGCGTATATCGTCGGCGGTTTCGGTGCCTGAAAGATCGCGTTGCTAGACCTCACGTGCGGAGGCAGTTGGTTCATTTGATTAAGGTTGTTTTCCGTGGGGCCAGAATGAGGACCATGGGGGCCACCAGGCATGGGCCCGATTTGAGGGAAACCCGTAGATTGCGGAGGAGGGGGCCCGCCACTGTGGGGCCCCCGTGGCCCGTTTGGGCCACCGGGTGGTTGTGGTGCTCCTCTATCGACTACTTTCGTCCTAGGCGATTTTCGTTCGAGTACTTGGCTCGCGAGAAGGAGATCCTTGTTTAGTTGTTCGGCGGCAACTTGCGCCGCCTCGCTTTGTTTCCCAAGAAACCTCCTCTGTTGCACGAACCTGGTCACTATACTGTCAATTAGATTCGTCAAAGACGAAGTGATTTCTGTTTTCAGAATATCCGCCAAGCCTTCCAAATCCGCACCAGTGATATGAGGACCCGACGAGCTAACCGCTGCCGCTGCACCTCTAAAGACACTTAACCTCTCTTGGAAGTCTTTATGTTGAAGAGGCGTACTCGTTGCTTGCATTTGTGGCATTTGCGGCGTGGACGGGCCGGTATTGCTTTGACTCTGTTGCTGTGGTTGACTCGGAGGGGGTGGTGGAGAATTTTGTCGTTGCAGTTGTTGCTGTTGGTGCTGTTGTTGTTGTTGTTGCTGCTGTTGCTGTTGTTGCTGTTGCCTCGCCGCAGCCTCCTGGTGTTGCTTCATTCTCTCCAAAGCAGCGTGTTGCTGATCGAGGTAGGCTTTGTGTCCTATATGATACATAGCTGCCGTGGCGTGCGTGTGTTCGGGTGGGATGGCCGGAAGGCCGTTGTACGGTGGTGGATGAGGTCGCGGTGGTCTCGGTGGTGGTGGTTGAGGTTGCTGCTGAGGACTGGCGGGCGCATCGCCGCTCTCGCTCGTGTCCGGTTCCATTCTGCTCGAAATCTCTATGTACTTTTGCTGCATTATCACCAACTGTTCGCGCAGCATTTTCAGTTGACTTTTGAGGTTGTCCTTCTCCTCGCGTTTCTGCCTGATCATCGAAGGATCCTCCTCCTCTTCGCTCTCCTCCTCGTCGTCCATCATCGTGTCGTTGACACTATGCTGGAGAACGTGATGCACTGTTTGCTGCTGAGGTTGGTACAGTTTCCGTTTTTTACAACCGTTCACCGTGGTCGTTTGAAGGGCAGGACTGCTGCGCATCGTGCTGACAATATTCTCGACACGAGCGCGTTTTATTTCCGTCGTCGGCGAATTCGTTTCGATTTTGGGCACGATCGGGCAAGGCGAGTTACTCGGGCTCCGTTTGATATTCAACGAGTCCTGTATCTCCTCCTTGACGGAAACTGACCCTGACCTTGGTTGCGTGGGACTGGGCGGCAAACTCTGTTCGCAGTCCGAACCATCGAGATTGGCCCCAGGCTCCATACCAGCTTCGGTGAAGACGTCCTCTATAGCACGTGCGGCTGCGGCTGCGTCCTCGGCGCTATCCTCGGCATCGCCCGGCATCACGGTATCACGATCACTGTGATTCGCGTTATTCACGAGGTTATTCCCGTCACCACTGTCCTCTCCGCCACTCTGCACTATTCCACTACGCGCACTATCACTATTCTGTTGATGCTGCTGAGGGCTCTGTTGATGCTGCTGCTGAGACTTAAGTAGATCCGCTGTTGTGTTGTTGTTGTTGCTGTGTATACTGTTATTATTGTTCGGTTGTTCCTGAACCGAGAGCGCGGACAGTTTGCGCCCTTGAAGTATATCGCGTAGCATGTGCTGCGTGAGCTCGGCGGTGGCGGGATCGTCGCAATTAACAACAGCACCCGATTGCAAATTCGCGGCAGGATCCATGCCGGCGCCAGTCATCCCATGGCCGCCCTCTGGCGGTGAGCCACCGGCGTCACTGGCCTGTTTGACCTGTCGTCCGAGCAGCTCGTTCAACATCTTGGCGGGGCCGTAACCCGGTGCCCCGAAGAAGCCGAATGCCGCGTGGGCGGAATGCTGCTGAGCGGTTGGACCCGTCGTAGCTGTACCTAAGTGACCTTGACTTCCTGCCGCTCCAGCTTGTTGTTGCTGGAGTTGTTGTTGTTGCTGTTGTTGTTGCTGCTGTTGTTGCTGCGACTGAGACTGATGATGCTGCGACGGCTGTTGTTGTTGCGGAAGCGTTGGCCCGGTGCCACCGAAGATCGAACCGTACAAACCACCGCCGTGAAACGATGGCCGGGAGGTGAAGTGCGGTATACTCGAGTAGTTGTTGCGCGGCTCGCCGGCGTCCACGCGCTGTCTGGTGCGCTTCTGCTTCTTCTGGAGTTGCTGTTGCTTGCTTTCCGTGGTTGCTCCGTAGGGGGCGAAATACTCGGTCTCCTCCCCCGATGACATCATCGGCCGTCTGGTTGGTCGGCCCCCCGAAGGCCTCCGCGTCCCCTCCCCGCCAGGGTTCCTTGTCACCCCTCCCCTTCGCGCTCGAATAGCCCCTCGTGGCTCGGCGCGCTGCCGCTGCTTCTGTACTCTGTGCTCTCGCCGTTTCCCCTACCACAGCCGCCTTTCCTCGTCGTTCCTTCTACCTTGTCGTCCCCACTCTGATCGTCAACACTCTACCCTCTCCAGTTTCTTCGTCTTCGGCGTCTCCTTCTCCTTCTCCTCCTCCGCCGCCGCCGCCGCCGCCGCCGCCTCCTCTTCTTTTTCTTCCTCCTCCTCCGCTGCCGCCGCCGCCTCTTCTTTCTCCTCTTCTTCCTCCTCCTCCTCCTCCTCCTCCTCCTCCTCCTCCTCCGCCTCCGCCGCCGACGACGTCGGCAGCCTTCTCCTTCCCGACGAACTCCTGCTTCCTCCTCTTCTCCTCCTTCTCCTTCTCTCGCGCCTCCTCTGCCACTTCTTCCGTCGTTCCTCGGTTTTTCTGCACCTTCTTTTCACTATTCCGCACCCCGCTCCTTCCGTCGTGGAGCTGACGCCAACAGCTGGGGCTTCTCGGTGACTCGATGTCGGCGATTCGTCTTCGTCTCGGGACGACGATTTCTCTTAGCGAGTCGCGGCTCGTTGTCGGGACTGTTTCCGCAACTTCCGTTTTTCCTTACGTTTTTACTACGATGACAATTCAAGCCGACACCGCCGCTTCCGCTACAGTTTCTACCGTTGTTACGTTTCTTCGCGACAGTCGATGCGATATTACTCACGTTGATAGCCACGAAAAGTGAGGCCGGTGCTCTCGCGGGCGGAATCCTCGTGCTCCCGCCTGGGAGCTGCATCCTTCGAGCTCACCAAAGGGCTGGGTGCCCCTCGCTCCCTCGTCTCGATTTTCGTTCGCGCGATTCTTCTTATCCGTCTGAAACAGAAGTAACGTCGAACGCCTTTTAGTCGGGTATTCGGATACGGCTCGCCTACCCGCTCAATGAAAGGAGATCGATATTAGACGTAAAGTTAAACCGTGAACCGTATTTTATTTTAAACAAGCTCTGCATATAGACGCCCACTTCCGCAGATAGTACCGACCGAACGGTCTGTGTACGACTGTCGTTGACTTTACTCTTAGACCTCTACTCGAGCCAATTTACTCGCGATACGGGAAAACTTCATTTAATTCTTCACTTCCTACCAGCTTGATTCGGTTTAATTCTCTGCTTGTGCAGTCTTTCAACGTGAAAACGTTCTATATAGGAACTTTTGGTTAACAGAATTAGGTATTCTTCACATATTTATTTAGACAAATTCGATACGATGATCAGGTTCGATAATGATTTGTATGGATCAATTTCTAGGCAATTTTCGTGTAATTCTCATTCATTCCTATTATATTTGTTCGCATTTTGTTTAGACGTTCTATGGGTACAGATGACATTACTCAAGCTTTTAATCCATCCGAGGTAATCTTAAAATTCTTGCGGGAACTTGTAGTCGAATATTTCTAGAATAAAATGAAAATACGGGAAAGAAGGTCAAGAAATGTTTCAATTTCTACAAAATTGAAAATACAGAGTCTACATCTTCACAAACTACAGATGCTTGTTGAAGATTTCGAATTTTCTCATATTTCTCATATTTACCCACGAGATTTTTCCAAGAACATTTGCAGTCTTGACGCGATAACGTCGTTTATGTAATTCGGAGCGATCCACGACGAAACCAGACGTATAAAAATAAAATTTCTTTCGTCGACATAGCCACTTAAACGTAAACCCTGGAAAAGTGTATCGGTTCATCGCACGTATTGCCAGGAAACGTGGATGGAGATTCCTAGCGTTATCGGTTAAAAATACACTGATCGACCACGGGCGACGAGTCGGACAGTCCTTTTGTAACGCGATGTGTTCTAACTTCGGCCCGATGTCTTGCCGAGAGTTTTAGCGAAAGCTGAATGTATAGCGGAACGCAAACGTCGAGATTGGTCGAAGAAGAGGGCGACCATAAGAAAATTACTTGCTGTGAATTTCTTATTCAGAGCGTAGGCAGTTGCGTCGAATCGACTCGTCGTCGGGGATTACACGTTTGTCGTTGATCGATAGCCGGAGGACGAAAGGGGCACAAAAAAGTAATTGATAGCAAATCCTCGGTCATAGACCAGCACACCATCTGGCTTGGTCAAACTCGAGGGTAGAAACAGTCTACCGTTCGACTCGGAATCGTTCGATTCTTTGGTCCCTAATTCGGTGGTTTATCTCGCTCATGAATGTTCCATTTTCGTGCGAGACTCGTAACTATCCAAGAATTCGATAGTTTTATATTCTTCGTGAACGCGTTAATTACAGTTAATTTGCGCAAGGAAAACATTAATTACGAAAATGGTGTAATAACCTTATTTGTTGCGTTAGAGAGCTCTGCTTCTCTGTATGAGTCGTTCATTATGAAAATGGTGTAATCCCGTTGAAAAATAGTATGTCTGCGGGCAACAAAAACAATATTTCTTCGTGAATGTGTCGATTTAATTTCAGTTGCCAAACGCAATAAGAATTTTATGAAATTTACTATTTACTACATTACATGCTATCGCTTCTTTATATAAAACGTTTATTATTAAAGTGGTATAATCTTTCGGAAAAATGGAGCGACTACCACCGAAAGAAACCTACTAATTTCTTAACGAACATGACGTATTAATAACATTCCAATGATCGTAATTGGATCCACGGTGACGTCTCAAGAATAAGGATAATTGACCGGCGATTTCGTACGGGTCAGTTTCTCACGAGGGCCTTTCGCGGCGGACGATAATCGGTAGACATTCGACAAATTCATTCACCGACGACAGGGCTCGATCGTTTCACGATTCAATTGCCGATACGCATAAGTGCGTGGGTACACGCGAGTCGGCCTTCTGCGTTTGCACGCACGCAGCATGATACGCCGGGGCGCTTAGCGTGCACCAATATCAGCGTGATATATGTTTGCGTGAATGTGCACGAGATTCGAAGCAACAGCTGAGCAGCTTAAAGCACCTGCGCTCAATAGGCCGACATATTCCATAGTTTGCCTACGCACGAGCCGCCTGCGTTCGAGGACACGAGTACTCGTCCCTATATATCGACAGAGCGACTAGACGTGTGTATACGCGCCGGCTCATGAAGCAACAAGGAGGCTCAAAGAGAAATGCGTATATAGCAACACGTGGCAAAACCGGCGAATTGGTGGAAAGCACGGGATCGTTGTACTTTTTTTCCTCGAGCTGCGCGCTCGGCTTTCAGCCCGCGCTGCTTCCACCGTTTTGCGAGATCGCGCAAGGAAAAGGGAGAAAACGAGCTTAAAATTCATCGATCATTTGCTCGCTTCTGGAGGATGAATCTAATTGAATATTGATTACCCTGGTCTTTGCCTTCTATTTGTTTCGGGCGGGAGCGGTGCGTCGTGAAATGTAGAGGACGGACGATCCCAGCGGCGAAGTAATGGCCGCGGCAGTTTATTGATACTCTCCGGAGCAGGGATGCGCAAAGTCAGGTCCAATCTCTTCCATTCGGCTGATCTGGCGCGGCTATCGTCAGAAACGTCCTCGAAAGTCTGAACGATATGTAATTGGTCTCGCAATTGGAAATTTTCGTCGGGAATTATCAGTGAAATGCTGGGAAATCGGACCGCCTTTGATTTGAATATTTATTATGAATTGAGAGGATTCCTCGCCACGGTGAAAGTAACTCTGAAAAATGATTTCCTCGTCGATCTATCGACTTGATTATTGCCCGACTTCGATAAGGCTGCTTTCGTTTTCCACGAATAGAAAGATTTCGTTCGGAGATACTGCTCCCCAGCAATTATCTTGGGCGGCAAGGGGGGGGGGTGGTCACGGGGTGAAAAAGGTGACATATGTTCGAAGGCACGATAAAAGTCTGCGATCGTACCTGCCTCGAAGAACGTAACTCTTCGAGGGGGGTCGGGAACTTCTGTCCTTCCTAATTTTGATCGGTACTTCCCTTCTGCGCTGCCATGCGTGGGACGGGGAGAATAAAAGGGTGTCCGCCGGAAATGGTTTTAGGAACTCTCCCACTGTTCCTGCGACTCGGAAGTAGCCACGCCGTGCTAATTACAAGCGTAAAACTTACTCGACCGAGCTTCGTGCCTCGGCATCGATACCTGTCCGACAGATGCGCTGTCGAATTCGTCAAAACGAAAGGTTACTTCGAAAAATTCGTTTGAAACTGCTTTCGAATTCTCTATCTATGTTTCGTAGAATTTTCTACGATGAAGATCGCGTTTATTCGTTTCCTTTATTAATTAGATAATACCGTAGGTCTTTGCTTGTTTGTATCACAGATTTGAGAATACAGCAACGGCGAACACCCCTTGGTTTGATCTGGAAGGTCTATGCGAATGTACGCTTAAACACTCGTGAAGTAACATTCTCCTAACATTTTCTCTTACTTTCAAATTGTTTCTAAACTGTAACTCCACCTAAACGAACGAGCTTCGATTCTAACAGTGTTTGCACGGTAAACACATTCGCGAGGGACGACAAGTGGATTAGAGCACGAAGAATCGTAAGATTACTGCAATTAAAGGATAAAATCGTTGGGAAATAAGAAACGTGGTTTGTTCGTAGCTGACCACATATTTCGACTGGCAATGACAGTCGCATCGATCGCTTTAGTGTGAAGCGAAAACAGCCTGATGAACGACCAACAGCCATTTCCTGTGCGTCATACGATATTTACCGTTTAAGCAGGTGACTTGATTTGAAGGGGTGATTACAAGTCATGCCGGTGGGGTTGCTGTACGAGATTAGAAAATTACTGAGTGGACGCAACTTGAGCGTTGCGCGTTCTAGTGACATTGTAATGTTCTTATGAAATTTTTGGAGGAAAGAAGAAGTGGAGAGATGAGGAGACAAGAGAAGACGAAGAGATTTAATATGAAGTGATGAGAAACGATGAAACGAAGAGGTAAGGACAAGTTTAATTATAAAATGGAAGAAGAACATTGTATCTACTCAAGAATTGGTATATGCAATGCCATTCTAAAATTCCTACAGACTTGAATCCAACGTAGAAGAGAAATACAGCGGAATGAAAGAACGAACGTTGAGACCAAGAAGAGGATGCTTCAAAAATGAACTGTCGATTACGAACGGAAGTTAATGGAAGGCTGGCTCGTAATTCCGTCGACTTTTCCCGAAGACCTCCATCGTTCAGGAGTTAGGATTTAAGGTAGCCATTGTTTCGAGTTATCGGCGCTGATAACTTCCACCTATAGGTCTGGGTAATTAAAGAAGAGACCTGAACGCAGGAAAGCTGCAGGCGAGCGTTCGTTATTCTCTT